AAAAACCCATAAATCACTCTGTTGACCAGATTCCTAAATGTTGTAACTGTATATGGAGACTTTCTGGAAGTGATAAGAGCATTCTACTTTTACTTCATAGGCTCTATAGGGAACACTGATAGATATTTTATTTTAGACTTATTTCCTTGACCTACAGTCTATTATAAATCTAGGTTAAATTGCTATATGATAGTTTCTATATTTTACTGAAGCAACTAATTAAAAAGCTAAACAGGAAAATATTCATTTTTCATCTTAATTCATTTTGTCTAACTTGTTATAATTCTGTCACAAGCAAACATCTGAACAGAAACCTATTACCAAAAATTGTTTGTTAAAGAAAAGAGAGGGGAAAAATTCATTATTGCAAACATAATTGGAATATTTAGAACACTAGTTAACATCTTGATTGCTAAATACTTGGGAATACCAATTAGAAAAATCTGAAAGACAAAGACAATTTAAAACTTTATCACTTAGTCTTGCATTGTATTTCAAATAGCCTGGTACTCATTTAAATGAAGAATAAAAAGACAACTTTATTATTTCTGGTAGTATGGATGGAATCTACTCATGAATCAGCATCTAGTTTCCTACATAAGCAAGCCCCTGGAGACTGTTTGTCTCCAATGAGTAGCTGGCATACGATTTCTATACTGAACACCACTTGAGATTTCTGCCAATGGATATCTTAAACTGACACATAATACTGAGCAAGTTAATACTGCAGCTGGTCATGAAAATGTCGCAGGTTGGTCACCGAACTGAAGTCTACCTTCTGACACCATCAATTTGGTGAAATTAGCTCTTCAGAAATAACAAATGTGGATTCTAGCTTTGCCAGGCTCTGCAAAGCTGTGTCTCTTTGGCCCAGGAGGCTGGCCTGCGAGGGTGACAAGGTAAGGGTACTTGGGAAAGTATGTCTATACAGTTGGTGGCAATTTAAAGAAAGGACTCATTGAAGCACTAAGTCATAATACGTATTAATTAACATAGATCAACATAAAAATTTACTACAAAGTAGATGGTCTTTAAAAACAAATTGATTCTCCTAAAGTTTCAAGGCCAGAAATCTGAAGCCAAGATCTTGACAGTGTCCAACTTCCTAGCTATTTATTGTAATTGTTCCAGATTTGCTATGGACTTTTTGTTCTGGATGAAGCTATGTGCCCAGATATAACACAGAATGATATTCATGAAAGAATAAACCTACGTGTTTTAAAGTATTCAAGAATTTTTTAGGTGAACACTGGATCCTTCTAAAAATGTCACGATGTGAAATTCATTTTCCAGTTGAATTATCTGTTATAACAGAACCCAAATATATATTAAAACAAATATTTATATCTGCCTGTCAACATATAAATATATGTGTAGATAAGTATTTGCAAATTCATATTTATAAATGGATTTATTCTAATAATATGCTACATTATTCACTAGAATTTGTAAAATTCCCCAAAGGAAAAAGTGACAAATGCTTCAGGGTTCCTATGATAGCTTAAGTAAGCTAAGCTTACTTAACCAAAAGAAAACTGCTATTACTTTACTTCAAAGATTACTAAATATAGGAAAAAAGCAGTCTCAGAAGGGAACAAGAATTCTCCAAGAAACAAGCCCTCCCTGTGAACCAGTGAACCGGAGCCATGCATGGGTCACCATGGTGGTGATGGGGTAAACCACAGACCCTTCCAGCTCTTAGGTCGGAAAACAGGAAGAGCCAACCCTCATCCACACTCCCTGTAAACAACCGGCTGATTCAGAGAAACACAGGGTGCAATGACAGCTATTTAGGCAAAACACAATTTGATGCTTGTATTTGGTGTTTCACTGACGCAGCAGGTCTAGAGCCAGTGGTCTGATCATCTATTCAGAGGATCATGGTATACAGTGTGGCACCTATTGAGGATCTCCTTCTGAAGGTGGTAGCCCTTGTTAATTCCCTATTATCTTGTTTTTAAGTCCTGTATCATTTTCACTGTTTTGTTGGATTAGGTTACATTCTGTTTTGGTTTGACTTTGTTATGCCAAATGGCCTGGGCAGCTATTTCAAAAACATTAAGATGTATTATGTTAGACATTTTGAATTTACTATTGTTTTGTTTTGAAGTACTTTATTGCATTCATTGTTTTGTTTTTATTGGTTCAATTCTGTCCTATTTGTTTCATATTTATTATTTTTGAAGGTATCTGCAGCTATTTGGAAGACAACAAGAGGCATTAAAATAACCATTGTTGACTTTGTATTGTTTTGAAGTCCTGTGTCACTTATACTTGTTTGTTTTAATTGGTGTTATTCTGTTTTATTTGCTTGGTTTTATTCTCTTTAAACTAAAATTTAAAAATTACTAAGTATAATGTGTGCAAATATATAGTATTTTATAGTGTTAAACTCAATAGTCACTTACATGATCAGTGAACTAAAATCTAGGCTTTTACTACCTTGCATTTTTATATTTCCTGGATATCTTTGCTTACTTTTTTCTCTTGCCTAGCAGGAAAATATCCTCAAAGCTGCTCTAATGTCTCAGTAAACTCAACCCTATTCTTATTCCCTTGTGCTTTCATGCATATTACAATGTACAATAAGAAAAATAAAACAAGACTGAACTTTTGAGCTTTAACGGAAGCTAAAGTAAGCATAGATGCTATTTATATTTAAATGCTGTACATTCAGATGAGCAATGCAATCAAGTTTTAACTTGAGTAACCATAAAACTTTTGAGTGAAGGTAGGTGTGATTTTGTGTTTTTAGTGTGAAAATAAAACTTTATAAATTTCTTCATTAATATATATTTCAGAGAGTAGAAAAACTGTTTCCCAAGATCTGTTTGTAAATGAAGGATATATGTATACTTGTATATTTTTTGTTCCTTGGCTGTCTTCTGTTATTTTCAAAGAGATTTGAATTTGGAGAAAAAATAATGAGGAATGTTAGTGTTGATACATTTTAATGGAGGAAATCATTCAAAGTTCTTTCCAGAAACCAGATTCTATGGAATATATATATACTCTCCCCTTACGTTGTATTGTATCTAGGATTCCATCATTTACTTTTCTCTTTCTTAAAACAATATTTCATTATATGTGAAGATCTTGAAACAATAAGGTTGACTAGAAGAATGAAAAGTATACACTGGAAACAAATTAATACAAGGCACTCAGCTATTTCCTCTCCCTATATAGGTAACTTATAACAGGCTTATTATTTTCTACAGTTATCAGAGTCTACTGGCTGCACCCCAAGGGTTAGGAAGGGTGAATGGGGCTTGGTGTTTCTGCTCATCACAGCTTGTCATCTAGTTCAGAATAGAATTTGTCTTATATAATAGAAAGTAAATGAAAATCTTGCAGAAGCAGCATACACCTAGGCTTTCTAGCCAAAAGCTAGAAAAAAGTGTTCTTGTGAAAAATTAAAAAATGTATAAGGCCAAAATGTTGAAGAAAGCATTGTGTTAAATTTATAGCATTTTATTTTTAATTTTGGAGAAAGCATGAATGAAATGACATTAAGATTCTGCATTTGCATTCATATGTGAAAAATAATTGCCTTTGAAAAAATTTTTATTGATTTGGAAAATAATGCATAAATAAGTTTGAATATAAACAGGTCGTTTAAATTACATTTCTCTCTCTCTCTTTTATTTATTTATTTATTTATTTATTTATTTATTTATTTTTTGTTCTTTGAGACAGGGTCTCGCTGTGCAGTTCAGGCTGGCCTTGAGCTCACTTTGTAGCCTAGGCCTGTCTCGAACTCGCAACAATCCTGCTGCCTCAGCCTCCTGAGTGCTGGGATTACAAGAGTGAGCCACCATGCCCAGTTAAATTACATTTCTTAGTAAGAGATTAGAGTTAGATTATCATGTAAATATCATTGCCCTAAGAACCTTTAGCTTTTTAACAATCTATTCTAAGAATCAAAATAGAACAGACTTGCACTGAAATAAACCTTAACAAAAAATGAAGCCCTGTGAAACCAACGGGAGGTAAGATTCAGAAGAAGAGGTATCTCTCATGTTCTTTCTTAGTCAATTATATTTTATTTATCTAATATTACATGAGTAAGCAAAATATTTCAAGGCAAATTCATATTTAGCAAATTTTCCCACAAGGAAGAGCTAACACTAAGAATGCAAATAATTAATGAAGACATTTTCAATCTGGAATATTTCAATCATTTTTTATACTTGCTTTTTAGATAACCACCATTCTCAGTTTCTTTTACTTTTATACATTACAGCTTTGCTAGGACAATGTAACAATGAAAATGAGTATTTTGTTTCACTAAAGCCCTAACCCCTGTCCCAAAAATATCAGATTTACTATAGTAGGTAGATTGTCACTTTAGTATATAGGTGATCAGAACAATATAAATTATTAGGTAAGATAATAGAACATTTAAAATATGACATTGAAAATACCAGTGCTTTTTAGTACAATGTTGTTGCTTTTCCTTGGAATATTTGTGAACATACAGCAAGTCACAAGCAAAATGGAAAATCATTGTACATAAAGAGATGATAAATAAATAAATATGACAACAAATCAAAACACTCTGGAGCCCTACAAACTCTCTGTCTCTGACTCTCTCTCTCTCTCTCTCTCTCTCTCTATATATATATATATATATATATATATATATATATATATACTGCCAAAACAGGCATCTGTTTACATTGCAACCTGATCTCAATAATGCTAGATACCACCTGTCACGTTATTACTGATGTACTCAAAATAACCCACCTTATTTCTCGTTTCCTATGAATTGAAATAAAATTCCCTGCGATTTTATAGGCACAGGTGCTATTTTAAATACAGAGAGAGATATTTGTCTTGAAAATAAACTAACGGAGGTTCTAACTAAATCTGTCAAGTTGCTCATTGCATATTTCATGGATTGACAAAACGATTTCATTCATACATTGACATAAGCCTAAGATTCCTTGGTCTAAAATTATAAAATACATGCAAAACCAAAGCATTTAGAATCCTACCTGTAACAAGAAAGCTGCATCTCCCAGCTCCAGCTTCATTGATAATGCTGCAGTTGTAAACCCCGTAGTTCTCATTGGAAAGACTCTTCACTGGGTACTCCGTGTACTCCTGAGAGTCGAACTGACCGGTCCGTAGTAACTTATTCCCCAAGCGCCACTCATAGGTCAGCACCCGTATTGGGTAGGCTCTCAGGACCCTGCAGCTCATCGTGACACTGCGGTCCTGCCCTTGACGAATTTCCAAGAATGCTGGTTCCACAGCGGGCGGATCTGTAGAAAAGATGTATTAAACACATGAGATCTGAGGCGTATAACAAGGCAGTCTTATTGGCTGTTCTTATTATAAAAAGCTATTTTTATGGACACAAGACATCAGGAGGCAGTAAAAAGGTGGGTGTAGGAGAGATTCAGGCCCAGGAATTTCAGTTTGATCTGGGAAATGAGATTTTCTGAATGTGGGCGGTGAGTGAGCCTCACTGCTTTATAATTGCTTTTCTAAAGCATTTGTAAGTTTTAAAATCAAGTTGAATCTTTTTCCTTCTAGCTGCTATCTAAAAAAAAAAAAAAAAAATGTCCTGCCTGTTTATACTGTCAGTCTCTAAATAATGCTCCGAAAGTGACATGCAGGATCAAGCTGGGTTTCACTTGAGAGGTGAAATATGTAACATTGTTGGTTCAAGCCAGTGAATTCTAATTACTCCCTGTGAGGCTCAGTCCATGGGTGTCTGGATACTCATTAATTAATGAGCACTATTATATAAACACTGATATAAACATCTTTTCTAAGTTAGCTGACTCGCTCTTATTTGGCTGAAAATCACAACATCCATGTACAAGCTTTAAACAAACTTCCCAATTTATAGCATTGGTGGAGGTGATTCCAACACTCTGCAATGGCTCATTCAGCTAACATAACTGTGGATTGTTTAATGTAATTAAAACTTGCTACATTAGATACCTAGTCTTTCAATTTGGGTAGGAAGATTTCCAATATTTTAGGGACATCCACTTAAATTATATAAAATACAACAGAGTACACAAATTACTATTACTGCAACTTTCATAGACATAATAAATTTAAATTATTTCATAGGCTCTAGTCATGTGACTCATTCATTCTATTATGAGAAATGTGCAAAACTGTCCCTGTCACCATTTCACTCCGTGTGTGTGTGTGTGTGTGTGTGTGTGTGTGTGTGTGAGTGTGGTGTGTCTATGTGAGCTGAGTGGTATTTAAAAAAAAAAAAAAAAAACAGAAACAAAACTCTTCAGCTATACCCCGTGGATCTTACTTCATGATGCTAAAAGGTTTCAGAATTACAATCTACAAGTGCCTAGTCTGATACTCTTTATGTGTCATTTCATGTTTTATAATGTATTAGTCTCACATTCCATCTGTTTTTTAATATAATATTGGTTTTTCTTAATGTCAGTCTATTGACTGATCCTTTTTTTCCAGCAAATATTTTTAAACTATGCTTTTAACTCTGATATTATTCATCCATCACTCAATTTTGATTCTAAAGGCATTTCTCCAAAAATGCTAAGAATTTTTTTTAGTGTACACAAATGAAGAATCTCTGCCATCATGGAATTCATGGTTTAACAGAGAAGAAAGAAATTTAAAAAGCTAGCTTTCAGAATCTGAAAACCAATTATAGGTAGTAGACACTGAAGCAATGAAAGACACTATAAGAACTGACCGGGCAAGATAAGTGAGACTCAGTCCGTGCCTTCCAGGGTACAGAGAAAATGCTCAGGTTGGTGTACAATCAGAAAGGTAAATGGGAGCCAGAGAAGAGGGCATGTTCAGAGAAACACAAATGATTAGTGCACTGGTACACAAACCCCAAGAGACTTTGACAGGAAAAGATATAGAAATTTAAAGTCCGTTCAAGTATCTGTGCATGCCACATTACACAGTTTGATTTTATCCTTTTGGTACTGGGGAAATACCATTTTTTTAGATAAAATATTTACATGATCAAAATGTTATTACTATACATAAAAAATGCTGTAATGCACAGGGGGAACAAAATGCAGAGAAAATGACATCAGTGTGAAAGCCGGAGCTAAGGTGGGGTCAGCGTAGCAACACACAGGCAGTGAGGTGAACAGTGATGCCCGCCGAGAAGACAGCAGGAAAAGAGCAGGCAGTGTAGGGCGTGGTGGTCAGGCTACTTCTGTGCATACGTGCGTGGTGGGAATAGTGATTAGCAGTCTTCATTTCTCAAGCTATGGTTCCTGTTTGATGATCTCTTTGCACTTTATTTTTTATTTTGCTGAATGGTGGTCAGAAAACATGAATGAAATGTGTGTGTGTGTGTGTGTGTGTGTGTGTGTGTAATCATTCAAATTTGTTGACATTTGCTGAGTGTCAATAGGTTAGATCTGTGTCCTCCGGAACCTGGCTAAAAAAGAGTACCTTTTTCTTTTCAGCTTTGAGATTTGTTGAGATTCCTCAATCTCTTGATTTAAATTTGTTACCTGTCATCTAGGGACATTTGGGGAACTTTCAACATTAGCCCTTCAAACAACACCTTTGTTGCCTTCTTTAAATTGTCAGGTGATGGTTTTCTTTGTAATATTTTCCACATCTTAAATTCTCTGTCCAGATTTTTGGTTGTTCATTTTTCTGTGCTGCATTATTAATAATTAATTCTGAGATGATTTATTTCATCAAATTCTTTCTATAACTCTAATCTGCTAAACTCATTCACTGTGCTTTTAATTCTAATAATGAAGATTTAACTTATAAATTTTAAGTGTAATTATTTTGTATACTTGCTAGGCCATGTTTTTAATAGTTCCTCATTGCCTGAAAATGTAGTTAGGTTCCTCTTTTTATGTCTTTAAATGAAGTAGTTTTAGGCTGTGTAAAAATACAAACTGAAGTTTTAAGGATGATTTCCCACTGGTTTTCCTTCAGATTCATTTTTTTTTTCTGTGTGTTCTTGGTCAGTTTGGATATTTCTTGTTGGTGAGCTTTTAAAAGTATTTGGGGAATTCTTTGAAGCTGATGATTTTGTGTCTTTTCCCAGAGATTTGCATGTATAGCCTTAGTCATTAATGTCTAAGATCATACTAATTTGAAGGCATGGCCTTGAGCCTTATTTGAACCATCAAATAAAATGAATTTGAGTTAAAAATCTATATAATGGCTAGCTTGTTACCAAAATTTCAAATATGTATTTCCACATTGTCATCACCCTGCTAAATTCAAACTGGGAAGTTTCTTGTGTTCTTTTGGACTGGAATGTGCAGACTCGGTTTCATTGAGTTTTACTGCTATAAAGGCCTTTGAGCGTCGGCTTCAGGGCAAGGTTCTTCTATGAAGATCACCTCCACGCAAATACGCTACATTTAGAGTTCTGCACCTTTGGCCCAGAGGTCATCAAACTGAATCTCAAATTTGCTCATGTCAATAAATTAACTCAGGGCAAAAGTAGCCCTATTTTATTACTTGCATATAAATCAGGTAAGGTATTAATAAATATTTAATACAGTTAATAATATTTACAAAACTACTTTCCAATATTTTCATTTGCTTCCACTGAAAAGCTTTCCAGAATATCTTTTTTTTTTTTTTTTTTTTTTTTCTTTTTCTTTTTTATTGGTACCAGGGATCGAACTCACGACTGCCTGCTTGCAAGGCAGGCGCTTATGCCACTGAGCTAAATCCCAGCCCCTCAGAATATCTTCTTATATATTCCAAAACACACGTCTCTGATAACCAGTTGAATGATCAGACTAAAATCCATATTAAAGGGCTGATTGCATGCTACAGAGTTGTTGAGACAGCCTAGAGTAAGATAAGTAAGTACAAAATTTGGATTTCCTCTTAAATATAATCACTTACAAGGTTGGAGTTTAAAAAAAAAGGCTCCTAAGATGATATATATGTAAATAAAGAGATACAGGTATTCAAGAAGGATGCTACAAAAGTTAAAGGAGTCACTTGTTTTAAAGAACCAGATTGAAAATATCAGATACTAGCAAGAAATCAGTTAAAAACAAAACTATTTTTGACAAGTTTGAAACAAAAAATTACAGTAATGAAAGTATTTTCTGTGAAGTATATATAATCTAGGTAACATATAAATGGATAAAACAACAGAGAAAAGTAATGACAATTGTTTTCTCAAAAACACTATGAGAAAAAAAAATGATGGTTATTGCTACTGATTCTACCTTAAAATTGATATTTGCTGCTCTACATTTTCCTCCACCTCTGCTACCCCTACCATTATCTGTTACATAGACTACACAAGATCTCCTTCAGTGGCTTTCTGATGTGCCAATGTGGTCTAGTTTCACTCATGACATCTTTCCATTAGATTTAGTCACATATTCGCATTATATTTAGTTTATGCTTTTAAATGAGAAAATGTCTCATATTTTCTTGTTCAAAGCACTTCATTTCCTCAGTGCTGCTTGTTAGTTAGGCCTAGAAGTTCTCACAAATTCTTGCTCTGGCCATATTCTCAACATTCTTCCTTGGTCGTGATGGTTCAGAAATACTAGGTTTCTTCCTGTGCACACAGGACAAGCCCAAGCACACTCCAGACCACTGGTTCTGTTCTCTCCCACTGCTATTCTTTCCTTTGCCTCTTCAATGACTGCCTCATACTTATCTTTTAAATTTTTACCTGTAATTTAGGAAGCCTATCTTTGATGACTAGTTAGTAAAGCATCTCCCATGTAGTTACTTTTTATGGATCCTAATATTTATGCTGCTTTTAATCAGCATAATGCTACATCTTCTGCAATCTCTATTACAAAGGGATTTATAGTTTCCTCTTCATTGTTCTATCCCATAGATCTATCAGAGGACCTGTCATTATAGTTGGTGCCAAATTATTAATCATTGACTAACTGAGTCCATATATGATTGAAAGGATAAAGGACATTCAGAATGCGGTCTAAATTCACTCTACTTACTCCTGAGATATATGTCCACTTTATTACATCTGTATAAGGTTTGTAAGCAGTTACTAAACAAAATATATCAGAAGTGATGGTGCAGCAATTTCTGAACCAATATAACAGAAATATCATTGTTATTTCCTATTTTTTTTTTAAATACCAACTCTAGGAGACCTGAAATCCTATGTAATAAACCCAGTTATCCTGCTGCAGAGACTAGGCACCGAGGATGTGAGGTTATATAAGGAAGGAGAAACTAAAGCCCACGTTTTAAGCTGTTTACATCAAGGTTTCAGACATGTGAAACCATTTTAACTCTTCCAGACCAGGATAGGCTAAGGCAT